CTTCAGCAACTCAGAATTAATCTAATCCCTTATTCATACAGCAGCTCTGCAAATACTTAAATGTATTTCTCATGCCATTCCTCTATCTTCTCTTCTGCAGGCTAAATTTTAGTCAAGCATCACAGTGCTTTGTTGTATTATTCACTCACCTGGTTTTCTAAGCACCCTGCATTCTGCTCACTGCCAGTGAGTTTCTCAATTACAGTCAATACATCTTTTGCCATTTTGTTTACTTCTTCATAAGTGGCCTCTTGAACAAACTGAGCAAAGAATATGGTAGATCTGAAACCAAAATACATGTAGATACTTAAGATGCAGACCTAACAGACCTTGTTTTCCTCAAGTATAGTTTCGCTTATTTGCTTTTTGTTTTTAGTTTATGTTGTAAACAGAACATGCTACACAGTACAGTAGCAGCAACACACTCCTTTAAATTTCTTATTAGAAACGTTAGAAATGTGGAATGGAAGTACCACATTCAAGAGAACATCATACCCAATACAGATAAGAGAAAATTGAGTACTTCACTTCTAGAAGAGAATAGAGACTATAGTCATATCATCCTATTGGCTTTCAGAGCAAAAATTCCTGAATATCTATTCATCCATGATTTCCACTGTTCAAAACTAGTCATCAGTTTCTAAGATCTGATCTCATTTATTTACTCCTCATTTGAACCTATTTTGATTTGACCCATGGAATTTCGAGGAATCTAGAAGTTAGTATCTAATGCATTGGCCAACAGTTCAACCTCTTCAAAATCAATTTATATTGCTTATAAATAAGTTTTCTTGTTATTTTGCAATTTGCTTTTGTGATTTTGAAAACTTATAGGGCTATCCAATTTCCTTGTTTGATTACCTAACAAAAGTTATCACTGATTAGCGTATCTAAATTGCATTTAAATGAGCAAAACTTACAGGTCAACTAAATTCATCTCTGAAGAACATTTGGAAGAATTCAATATGGAAGCTGGAAAGCAAAATAACATTTCATGAAAAATTATGTTTTCAACTGCAACCAAAAAAGGAAACATTGTTACACGTAAATGTGTTTAAGTTAGAACTACACAATTTTAGAGCTGAGAAGACCTCAGGGATCATCTATCAAAACATCTTAATTTTGTACTTAATAAAACTAGGAAACAAAGTTAACAGGAATAATTTCTAGCAAACCTAGAGCTAAAACCCAGATTTTACATCTATGGTTGTTTGGTTTTTCCCTGTACTTGTAGATCAAACAGTCAAAAATATATTCAGTCATCCTTTTCAACATGATTGTACCACAATTTGCTTGTCAGTGTTTCTTGTTCAGATATTCAAATAATGACCCATTTTTCTGATGTAAAGAATAAAGATATTACCTTTTTTACCAATATGAGGGAGTTTTATACATGAAGGAGCCAGGATTGTGGCCTGACATACATTTATACATCTTGCAAAGTTAATATGTATATCAATTTAATAAATAATATGCATAAAATTTACTCAGTGTGGAGTATATGAACCATTCATATAGATAAAGTTAAAGTTATAACTTTAATTTGTTATTAAAATATGTCCAGCAATTAAATATATTTCTACTGTGCAGAAAATAAACTCGATAATGGGTAAATATAAAATTAAGAACTTTTAAGAATTTTGATATAGAAAAAAGGCAAAAAATATACAAAGTAACTTACCTACTCCATATGCATTTTTATGCAGTGATATGGATTCAGTAAAATTTAGTAGGGAAATTAGAAAAATTGTTACCACCCGCTTCATGGTTGCTGGTTAGCTTGTTGTTGGCAATGGTGAGAGCAGAATACGGAAAAATCACATTGAAATTCTTTTATATTCTTCTCAACCAATATCTGTTAACTAGTAACTTTTGTTATTATACCTGTACTTTATTTTCTTAGGTTTCAAGTGGGAAGCTTTGCCAATAATTAACAGCACAGGGGTTATTTGTATTTTATGTTCAAGGACACAGACCTCCTTGGGTGGAAAAAACTTTGCAAATTCATTCCTTTTGCAAATATAACCGACATTCTTTTCAAATCACAGAGTATTCAAAAAGATTTTCCCCCAGAATTGTGGGATAATGAATTCCTTTCAAGTGAAGACGTTAATGG